AAAAAAAAAAAAAAAAAAAAAAAAAAAAAAAAAAGATGACGATGAAAACAAAACATTGTAAAGTTGCTGTAGCAGAAAACACGTGGATAAAAAAACAGCATTAAAGAAAAAAAATGAAACATACCAACAAAGAATGACGTGAGAGCTTTTCGGAAAGCAATTGATATTCGTCGAATAAAATTCTAAGTTCATAAATCTGGCAATAAATGCCGTAAATATAACATTCTGAAGTTTTGGCTAATTTCTTTCCCGCTACTTAGTTCAGTGGTTTGAACTTTGCGGAACAGCTCTTGCAGTTCGTTTACAGCCTTCCCCGGAAGTGTAAATACCTAAATGTTTCAACTTACTATCCTCACTAATGGGGATGTTCCTATGACACTGAATACGGGGTAAATTACTATCGATCTGAAGATCAGAATAATTTATATATTTATACTGTACACGATCTGACATCCCGACCAATGGTAATTCTATTATAGGCTCAGTAAGCGACTCCAACCTGAACTACTTCGCGGACGGAAATTCCTAACCCTGTTTTTCTTCGATGTAGTTTAGTCTCTGCAAAAAAATGTTGTACTATATCAAGGTAAAATTCTTACAATTGGCCCAAATCCAAAGGCAGTTCGGTCCCCTACACAACGTTGGAGTTCAGTAACCTGTGTAGCGAATTTCGGGTCCTGAACTTAATTCCGTATTTCTCACCAGGTGTTTGGATCTATCTTTTATGACAGTTCCATTCGAGTTTACTGGCTTCAAACATATGTTTTCAACGGTGTGGCTATTCCTTCGTGTATTTTTCTCCTTTTGCTGTGTCGAGATGACAATAGTAATGCATCTGAATTAGAAAAATTTCTAATGTTTTTCACTGAAAGTCAGAAATGCTTTATAAAAAATGTTAACAACCCGAATTCTTGCAGTAGATTGGAGGAAGCGTATTCAGAAAATCAGTTTCAGATTCGGTGCTGAGAACTTTTCGATAAATGTGCTGTCTAAGGAATCCTGACAAAAAAATGATGCGGTAATTCTTTGAATTAAGTGATCCAGTACCATCTTTTTAGTACCATTTTCACTACAGCGTGCCCGCTGGAAAGCAGGGCTTTTTTTTAAACATTAAATTGCCTTCATTTTTTGTCTACAGAGTTTAGAATATCGTTTTGCCTAAATATTCTAATTTCAAGAAGTTCTACAAACGTTTTTCTTGCGTTTTAGACTTCAATACTTTTGATTGCCTTTACTTGTAGATAAGGTATAATGTAATTGACCTGTGGAAATTTCATGTCATTGATTTATATGGCTTAAGAATTTATTTTTTATTTATTGGAAAATTTATATGGCTCAAGAATTTATAAGTTATTATTGTTCACAAAATTTTGCTCACTTTGTAATTTCGATGCAAAGAGGACAAACAGTATGAAGTAATTGCCTGCAATTGCATGAGTTACAAATCTGATCCCGTCCTGTTACAGCAAGCTAGAATTTGGTGTAGCAATGTGGTGCCGAAATTAGGTTAAATCTCAAGGGTAACGCTTCCCAAAAAGACTGTAAAAGTACCATGTAAGCCAAGTTTTTATCACGAGCTTGAGCATACAAGGACACATGTGAAGTTAACGGCGGTCAAAAAATAAATCTTAAAAAAAAAAAGAATGAACGGGATCCCCCAAAACTGTGAGAAATGGATGCAAGATATTTGAAAGTCCTAAAAACAGGGGACGAAGACGAGCTACTGTCAAGAAAATTTTGGTTAGATGTGGATATGATAGAATGAAAAGTAGCGGTTACTTTCGTCGAAAATAAATCGAAGTTGTGTGTGATACGAACGTGTGGTTGAGTTTGCTGTGGAAATAAAATTCAAGTGTTGTGTCGCTGATGAACATGATTCTTCAGCTGCGAATTAGCGGACAACTAGTAAAGAGTCTGCCTAATTTCTGCTTATGAACGGCCTTTACTTTCAAATCGGACTTTCTAAATTTAATGCACAGTCAATTTTACTTGTAGAGGGCATGTTATTTTCAGTTTAAGAACACCGAATTCTGGAGAGCCAAAAAGATAAGATTTTTTAAGTAGAGGTTATTATTGCTGTAATGCGTCGATTTGACAGTTAGAAATTTGCTACACTTGGTGAAGGTAGCCAGTGTTAAATAGTGCTAATGCAGTAGAACTGCTGTCCATAGCAGTTTTATACTAATAAATCCAAGGGTGTTGTAATACATGAATAAAGTAGACTTAAAGTACATTTCCGGCTGTGTATACGAATGATAACATGGGGAAACAAGCAAGAACATTTGCATTTCAACTGTTTTTTGCTCTTGGTTCTATACTCGAATTGTTCCTTAATACTCTGATGTCATATCTCCAAATATATCTTTCAGATTGATGTTTTATAGAATAATTTGGATTGAGTGGAAGCGTAAAGAGTTTTATCGTCTACCACTACATTGCTCCACGAACGAATCAAAATTGCAGGTTGAATGGTGTAATCTTTGTATAATTTAGTATCTACCTCCGTGGTGGTTGTGGCGATGCACCAAGAAACAAAAATGCATTTCCTTAACAGCAATAGGTGACTACACAATCCTGTTTGCTCAGACATGTAGTACCAGCGATCAGTGGCGCCATACCCAATGGAAATTTAATAAAAACTTGAGGCTTGCATGGAGATAATGATAAGACAAAACGACTTTGCAAGCTGACGAAAAACAAGATTTGCATCTTCTACCCTCAGGTGCTAAGAAATCTTTTCAATGAGGCAAGGAACGATTACTATAATTTGTAACTTCATGTGATTATTTTTGTTCGGAAGCTGCATTATTATCTGCCTTTATTAGGAGTGCCTAAGGCGTGTATAGGGACTACTTTTTTTGTTTTTGTTTGTTTGATTTTTTTGCTGTGAGGACCCAAGCAAGAATAAAGATTTTTTAGAGTTTCGGGTAGGAACTTGGCAGCAGG